TATCTGGGTTTCTGCCACGTGTCCGATGGAGCTGCTAAACAAGAAACTTTCATCGTTCACATGGCGAAATCTCAGATGCCTTCGAGTTTCAACCTCCACTCTAACTGGTACGATTCCTCACTTAGATCCGTCTCTGACTCAGCTGAGTTACTCTACACTTACGAAAACGCGATTCACGGATTCGCAACTCGGTTAACTCAACAAGAAGCCGACTCGCTCATGACTCAACCAGGAGTCATCTCCGTTTTACCGGAGCATCGTTACGAGCTACACACAACTCGTACTCCACTCTTCCTCGGTCTCGAAGAACACAACGCAGATCTATTCCCTGAAACCGGAGCATCGAGCGACGTCGTTGTCGGAGTTCTCGATACCGGAGTTTGGCCGGAGAGTAAAAGCTACTCCGACGAAGGATTCGGTCCGATTCCGACAACATGGAAAGGAGGATGCGAGGTCGGAACCAATTTCACAGCTTCTCTCTGTAACCGTAAACTAATCGGAGCTAGATTCTTCGGTCGTGGCTACGAAGCAACCATGGGACCAATCGACGAATCCAAAGAATCGAGATCTCCTCGTGACGACGATGGTCACGGGACTCACACGTCTTCAACCGCGGCTGGCTCCTTCGTCGAAGGAGCTAGTCTTTTAGGTTTCGCTGACGGAACCGCTCGTGGGATGGCTCGACGAGCACGTGTCGCTGTTTACAAAGTTTGTTGGGTCGGTGGTTGTTTCAGCTCTGATATTCTAGCTGCGATTGATAAAGCGATCGAAGATAACGTTAACGTTATGTCCATGTCTCTTGGGGGTGGAATGTCGGATTATTACAGAGACAGTGTCGCGATTGGTGCTTTCGCTGCTATGGAGAAAGGGATTTTGGTTTCTTGCTCTGCTGGTAATGCTGGTCCAGGGAGTTCTAGTTTATCGAACGTTGCTCCTTGGATTACTACGGTTGGTGCTGGTACTTTAGATCGGGATTTTCCTGCGTTAGCGATTTTAGGAAACGGGAAGAATTTTTCCGGTGTTTCTTTGTTTAAAGGAGATGCTCTTCCGGAGAAATTGTTGCCGTTTGTTTACGCCGGTAATGCTAGTAACGCGACCAACGGGAATCTGTGTATGACCGGAACTTTAATTCCGGAGAAAGTGAAGGGGAAGATTGTGATGTGTGACAGAGGAGTGAACGCTAGGGTTCAGAAAGGGGAAGTGGTTAAAGCCGCCGGTGGAGTTGGGATGATTTTGGCGAATACGGCGGCGAATGGAGAAGAGCTTGTGGCGGATGCTCATTTGTTACCGGCGACCGCCGTTGGACAGAAAGCCGGTGATATAATCCGGCACTATGTTTTAACCGATCCGAATCCAACAGCTTCGGTTTTGATTCAAGGAACCGTGGTTAATGTTCAACCATCTCCGGTTGTTGCAGCGTTTAGCTCGAGAGGACCGAATTCGATAACGCCGAATATTCTTAAACCGGATTTAATCGCTCCGGGAGTTAATATCCTCGCCGGTTGGACCGGAGCTCAAGGACCAACCGGACTCGCTTCCGACACTCGCCGTGTGGAATTCAACATTATTTCCGGTACGTCGATGTCTTGTCCTCACGTGAGCGGTTTAGCGGCGCTTCTCAAGTCGGTGCATCCGGAGTGGAGTCCGGCGGCGATTAGATCGGCCCTTATGACCACCGCGTATAAAACCTACAAAGACGGTAAACCGATCCTCGACATCGCGACGGGGAAACCATCAACGCCGTTCGAACACGGTGCAGGACACGTGTCACCGACGACGGCGATCAATCCGGGACTTATCTACGATCTGACGGCGGAGGATTAC